TACTAATTTTTAAAATATCAAATTGAAATTTTGTTCAATAAAAATCTTTCAAATGTGGCTGTAGTTTTTTTCCCCCAAAACTTTGTCTTCAAAATAAGGGTGCGTCTTGTATTCCGAAAAATACTGTAAGTTTAGCTTGTAAGATCAAGAACAGTGAATAACGTATAGAAGCAAGTTTTGTTATCCCTTGAAAAATATCCAGATTCCAAAAGCAGTTGCCTTGACCTTTTAAAATGTATAAATTTCGTTCACAGCAACTAAACACCCAGGTTGATATTAAATTTAAAAGCAGATTTCATAAAGGAAATGTATGAACTGTTAGATAATGAACTAACATTTTCGGCAAATATAAAAATAAATATGCAAAGTTATGACTAACGATCAAGACGGAATACAAAATACTAATATTACCAATCCTACAGTGAAATTAAACTCGAATAACTGTTTTTCATATATTTAACCTTCGTTTTTATAGATATATTAAGTAAATGTGAAAACGGTTAATCGTATGTAAAAATTTATGTTCATTGACAGTAAATTTACGAGAATTTTTTACACTGTAGCGAAGAATCCACATCTCGGAACCTGTTAGTAAAACATCTATTATTCCAAGTATTAACAGTGGTATTAGTAATTTATATTCCTTTTGTTGCTATGTGTTATTGTTATTCCATTCGCGTGTTCTTCTCGTTTATGCCGGCGATTAGGCTCTTAAATTGAGGACACGAAAGATTGCTAACTAATTATGTGGGTGTGTGGTGACCGAAAAGCCAAGCGTAGAGCTCGAACCTGAAGGGTTGCTAAAACAATTGAGAGGCCCTGGTTGCATTATATATATGTTGAAATAAACTAGGAAGACAAATTGTAATGTAAATATTAATCAAATATTATGCTTATAGAAGGCCAAACTAAAAAAGGAAAACATGTTTGTGTTTTTAAGTAAATTATACCTAAATAAGTTATTGTTCTTGTCGGAAATTTATTGTAGTCTAACAATAGTTATTATTAGCAGGGTGGGTGAATATTGTTATTGGACATTGTGTGTGTGTTATGTACATTTAACTGTTTTAAGGGTTGTGCATTTTTTTTACCTGTTATTTTACTTTTACATGTCTACTTTAAGAAAAACTGATTGTTTCACTTTTTTTTTCAGAAATGCTTGAATTGTACGTTGCTTGCACTACTTAGCAGTTTTATGAAGATGCTGTGATGAAAAGCAGAAAGCGAATGTAATGTTTCACAGATGACATTTTGTTAGTGTTGTTTATTAACTCCATCTCTTAGGTTCTTGAACATGAATTTACCGTTAACCCCCCTCAATGCCACGTTGCCAAAGAACTGTGCTTCCAAGAGTGTAAAGATGTTAGTATCAATAATCCTAGTTCTTTCGTGTGCGATTCTTTTACAAGTAGAAGCTACCCATGTGGAGGATATTACTAATCCCCAGGCTTTACTGAAGAATAACGTGCATGTCAAGAGGTTTTGGGGAGTGCCAGACACCGTAGCGACTGCCGGCAAACTCTTCAACTACTCTGTACCTGAAGATGCATTTACAGGACAGGTCGATCGGTTCGAGGTAAGAACTGGACATTTTACCTTAACGGCTTAATTCATTTATCAGCTAGATTAATATATTTACTTCTTAGTTATCAACCAATTGTACAGGATATATCATTAACGTCATTAATATCAGTAGAAATATGCTTTTAACTTCAGTATAAAAAATAAAACGCTTTTGTCCATTTCGAACTAAGCCTTTTCAAACTTTTTCATTTCCGATTTTTGAATAACTTGTAAGATCGAAAAAGTGAGAAAACCACAATTAAAAAAAAAAAGGTGAATCCTAGGAGCGATTTGCGAAATTCGATGATCTATCTTTCTTGGGCGCTAAACACGCCACATACCTGGAATATATTTTGTATTAAATGATTATTAAAACTCAATCATTCAAGCGCATTCTGGTTGTTCAGGGTGTCTAACCATATTTTGAAATATAGTTTTTAAAAAAATATATAATTCACGTCATAGATGTTTTAAACATTTGAAATACTTGATTTGAGTAAACAGATATTCTGTGTAGGACATGTGACACTCACCTTAGAGATATCTTACGCTATTTTGTTCACTTGGTTATTATGGATAAGATTAAGTACAGAAAACACTTTCTAATATAATTAAATAATGCCGCACTATGGATCATTACTTCTTTCTCCATATCATTTGATATCTCACCTGTGGACAGTCCAATTAATATCTGGTTAAGTTAGCTTGTGAGATTTTGACATTATTCGGGATGTGAGTTGTTTATCATTTGAGCACCTATCCATTATGATAAATAGACGATAATTTCTGTTGTGTTGATACTGGATGAAAAGTATTAATCATTTCACTTTATTATATTTGGTAACAAACTAGTGGTCTTTCTGCTCATGACATGGCCTGGTGGTTAGGTTAGGGCCCTCGACTCGCAATCCCCGTCATCAAAAATGTTCGCCCTTTCAGCCGTGGAGGCGTTACAAAGTCAGGTCAATTCCACTATTCGTTGGTAAAAGTGTAGCCCAACAGTTGGCGGTGGGTGGTGTTGACTAGCTGCCTTCCCTCTAGTATATCACTGCTAAATTAGAGACAGCTAGTGCAGATAGCCCGCGTGTAACTTTGCACGAAGTTCATAACAAACTATTCACTCTTTGTTTACTAGTCCTGAGACCTTGAACACTTGTTGATACAACTGATGAGATTTTTCGGATAACGCAACAAATTTTATAGAATTCTGAAGTAATTATTACTGATTATAATAAAAATTAAAACCACCCTTTTAAAGAATACAGATAAATTATTTATATCACAGCATACTTGTACAGGGAATTAAAGATGGCATAAAATACATATGCGGCTATGTAGAGGGCGCTATTTCTGTATATTTGAGCATTGGGAAAAAAAAAACGCGTGAAAAACTGTCCTTGAATTCGTCATCCACTTCCAAACTATACCATAAATGGCATGTTTAACAAATTGCATGTGTATGATGAATATTTAATATAGCTGGTTCAATGGATTCCAAAAAAAAATGTCACTTGCATGATTTTGGGAAGTTGGGAAGCTTTGTTATGGAATTGTCAAGTTCAAACTTACCAAGAGTGAGAGTTGAGGTTTAATGGTTGATGATTAAGGTCAGTAGGATTGAAATTGTTTTAAATGTGTCAAAATATTTTTCAAAACTGAATTATAACGTATTCAATGAAGTACTTCTCCAGTAAAAAAGATTTGTTGAAACTTTAAGGTGTAATTAAAATATCTAAATAGTAATAGGAAATGAAACCAAATATTTGAGGTAAAAAAATAAAGAAACTTAGGTTTATAAAGTTTCATTTCCTGAAAGATACTTCTAACCCTTAAAATGACAAAGTAAAAATAATTTTTGTAAACATAACTTTCAGTAAAATTTGATTTTGAGAATTGATAATGAAAACTCGGTGTATAGAACATGATGTTTTAAATCAGTGCCAGTGATGATGTATAAGTAAAATAGTATTAATTGAACTTGATGAGTCTTCACAAGACGAACCACATGTTTCAAATACATTAAAATTTTGTATCCCAGAACTGATATTATATTAATTATACTATATTCGTAACTTTTAAATACTTGATTTTCTCTTCATACTTGTATATGAACTTGATTGACGTCACACTTTATCGTAGTATGTTAATTACTTTTTTTGCTGGAATCCCAGGTAAGTTTAATAGATGCCTGATTGTTTTCAAAACTCATACGGCTCGAGCAATCGTGAAATAACATGCAAAGTGGCTGTTGTACAACGAAGAAAGAGTTTGAACCCGACTGGAAACGGATGAATTACGATTTTGTTTTTGTCAGTCCATTTTATTTTTGGAACATGAATAGTGCAGCTTACCTGAATCACACATGTTTGTAATTTGTGGTGCGGAACAACTGTACGGTTATACCATATTCGTTTTACTGTTGATACCTTGTAGGTTAGACACCGATATATTACACAACGTATATTACACGTGCCCCAATTTTGGCGTTTTAACGGAGCACCCTTTGAACTTTGAGTGGGGAATAACGTTTTGTGTATAACTGATGGAAAGTAGCTGTTTCAGTTTTGAATTTAATGGCAACGGTTAATATAGCAAATAAGGTACCCCCAATTGTCAGTCCCCCCCCCAAAAAAAAAACAAGATACCTCCAATAGTTAGTCCCCCCAAAACCAACAACAACAATATATATAATATATATATATATATATATATATACTACGTACGTACCTACCTACCTTAACTTAACCGTTCGGTT